CACACCGCCTGGTAAAATGTCAGTAGGTAAATTTAATCTTGGGAACTAATCTGCCCTTGGCTATTGTATACAACCTTTTAGGCTTACATAAGTAACTTACTGCAAAAATGTGACTGAGAATAAACACAGCTAAATTTTCTTTTTTACCAGCTCATGATAACAGGGGAGTGGACATGGCAACTGCAGACTATGCAAAATAGGAAGCACTGAAAATTGATATGCTCTTCATCTGTTTCCAGTGTTGCTTTGGAAGGTAGAATTGTACTTTAGCACCTGGCCATAACTCATTACGTGCTTGAAATTCAGCACAGGTAACTAACACATGTCCAGTTAAGACACCTGCCCCCAATTCTGGTATCTTTTCTTTAAATGTTTTAATGGATCTCTCTTACTGTGTTGCGTGCTGTGTCTATGCGAAGAGGTATAATATACACATTTCCATTTTGACCTCGATGTCTTCATTTTCGAATACCAAAGTCATGACTTCTCACTGAAAAGGGGTAGGCCCCTGTAGGGGCACTGTAAGTCAGACCTGTTCAGCCATTTCTGGTCATCAAGTGCGTGTGTTTTAAAAGATGGGAGAGAGGATACTTTATTAGGTTTGCAACTGTTTTAAAATTCATGAGCTCTCAAGCCCAAACCACTGGGAGCAGGGCTGGCCCACAACTTTTTTGGGGTCCCCTGCAAGCTATGGTTTTGGGGGCCCCTGACGTGAAGAAGCTGGTGGAGGCATCAGTGGTGGGGCAGGTGGGTGGCCAAAGAAGCTGGCAGTGGCAGGGGGCGTGGCCAGTGGCTGGATGTGAAGCTGGTGGTGATAACACAGCGTGGTGGCAACTGCCTGCCCCCCTTGCTACGGCACTGATTTGGAGTGTTCATGGCTGCAGGGGCCCCCTTGGCTGCAAGGCCCCCTATGGCCACAGGTTCTGCAGGATAGGATGGGCCAGCCCTGATTGGGAGTATAAATTTGGCCTGAAACTCCTACTCGTCACAGCAAAGAGCCTCAACAGTAGGCATGTCAACACAAGGCACTAAGGCTATGGACAGACGTTGCATATAAACTAATTTAAATCATCAGAAACTGGTTTAAACCTATAACAGAACAGAACTGCCCCCTGCAAGCAACCCTAGTTGGGGTCTGGAACCAGGGAGGGGAGTTAAACTTCCCTTCCCCTGGGCACAGAGCTGCCCTGCTCTGCTAAAAACTTAGTGCTGGCTGTGACTGCAGACTGCAAATCTCAGGGACCTCGAGGGGGGAGAGGAAGAGGAAGTGAACACACAGCCCATGCTGGCTATGTGGCAGAGAGCTGTGTTTCAGTGCACACCCCTCTAACCCCCACCGCTTCTGGCTTGAGCTGCTGCAGGTATGTGGCAGCATTTCCTGAATCAAAAGTGAATGTCTCTCTAGTTGTTTCTCAGTTTAATCACTGCAGTTTAGATTAACCTGCAAAAACCGAATCAATTCAGCTTCGGGCATTTGACTATCTGCATTTAGCTTAAAAGTGTAGTAGACTAGTTCTACGGCTCATTAGTGCATCACAGCAAAAGCCGTGCTAATGAGCCATAGAATTAGTCCTACTGTGCATTGGTGTCACTTAAAAGATGTATGCCAGTGCTGCACAGTAGTGCCAACTATTGCACATTCAGTGTAGTACCTGTAACAGGTACTACACTTAATGTGCCATAATTACATGAATGCATGTGTAGACACATCCAGTGTAGAAGAAACTGGCTCTTCACGGAGCAAATATATGTGAAATTTGATCAAAGAATAAGAGTGGTAAGTCCTTGGGGCCAGCAGCTAGACGGATGCATGCAGTGGTCCTGAAATGTATTTAAATAGTTGAGCTGTTAATGTTATGCAATTTTGTTTTCATTAAATTTAGCTACTGTATTGGGTGGGGAGGGGGTGGCATACGGGGCACATCTATACCCCTTCCATTCTTTCTGCAGAGCAGCTGTGAAGCATGCCGCCTGCCAAGCCATGTGTGCCAATTCCCAGAAAAAAGGCAATCTAGCCACAACAGTGCCCAGCTCTGTTCTCTGTCTTTCAGTCTTGGGCATGCTCACTGGTCTGTGTTTAGGGTGTTTTTAAGGCTGCCCCGCTAAGTGCAGAGGTAGAAGCACGCTGGGAGATGATACTCCTGGACACGATACAATGGCAGTGCAGACACACCACTGTGTGGCCTCTGCATTTCTAATGAAATCTGCTCCCTGCACAGATTTGAGACCCTCAGCTGGAAAGTAACTAAAGGAAGAGCTGCTGGGCTGTGTCTGAGCTGTGACCCCAGAAACCACTGCACCGAGGATTTGCCAGGTTTTAGTGCTGTCGGCTCCATGCTCACTGCCTGCATGACAACACTCCTATCTGATGGAGTCGGCTTCTACTGCAGTCAGGTGACATGGGAAACAGGCAGAGTCCACAAGGACCTCACGCTGCCAGCGTCCCCAGCTATCTTCTCCACCTACCTGCGTAATGCTAAGGAGGCGCAGAAAAGGGGAAACTGTTAACAGAATATTGGAAAATACCCTTTCTTTTCCTTCCCTTTAGACCTGGCAGTTTTGCATGGTTGTATTGGGGTGGGGGGAGCTGAATGTGATTTTTATAACTGACATTCCAGAGGATTAGATGGCAGGGGCCCCAGAAATCCTGCCCCCAGAGATGGGAGAGGGACCCAAAAACTGAGATCTTTCCTTGATGGCTCACAAGAAGAGGCTGGTTAGTGCCATTTGACAGATGGGGGAACTGAGGCACAGGCCAGTGGCAGAGCTAGGGCTAGAACCAAGTCTCCTGAGTCATGCTCCAATGCCCTACTCATTAGGTCACACTTCCACTGTACAAAGCAGAGCCAACAGACCCCCCCCCCCCCCCCCCCCCCCCCCC